TTTTCAGAGAAATTTTGTTCGAGCCTCCATGTCTGTTCTCTGTGATCAGGCAATGTTTTTGCAGCAAAGTTATTAACGAAAGAAAATGTCGACGAAGAGAATCGATCAAATCCGACAGCATGCTTGGCATACACAGTTGTACCAACAATCAATACGAAACTAACGATTTTAAATTGGCTCACTACTTTACTAGCCTATTGGTCCCAAGCAAACGGTTAACATATCCCATTCTAGTATAAATTCCAGTACTACGCAATGTTTGTTTTGATTCGCTATGAAAGTTTGACAGATAAAATGAGGGGTGATTGGTTTTTCCTATGTTTCGAGGGGTGAATCGATTAGCTTGGGACCGAAGAGAGTACCAGATCTGAGCCTAAAAGTTGAGCACGTTATTTCGGGACCTTCTAGTCTTAGAGTTACCTCTATGGTTGTACCAACAATCAATTCGAAACTAACGATTTTAAATTGGCTTACTACTTGACTATAGCCTATTGGTCCCAAGTAAATCGATTAACGAACCCCATTCTAGTCAAAATTCTAGTACTACACAATGTTTGTTTTGATTTGCTATGAAAGTTTGACAGATAAAATGAGGGGTTCGTGGATTTTACTATGTTTCGAGGGGTGAATCGATTAACTTGAGACCGAAGATAGTACCAGAGCAGTTTCTTCGGGACCTACTAGTCTTAGAGTTACCTCTATGGTTGTACATACCCACTGCTCATTTGTTAATAGCTTCCCGAAAAAAAATTACAGTGAAATTTTCAGTGGAAACAATGCTCTAACATTAATTTTTATTGTCGACAATAAAAATGATTGTTAAAATATTGAACTCTTCCGAAAACGGCAAAACTGCTACCTAGCTGTACAATGAATGTACATAATAAAATGTTGTTACAATGATTTTTATCGTATTTTTCATTTATTTTATTGTTAACATGATTCGATCATGAACAATAATGAACAACTCTATTACAATAAAAATTGTTGTTACATTAAATATTGGTGTGTTTTCATTGTGGGTTACCTCACGAACAATAAAAATAAATCTGATTGAAGCATGCAGACTAGAGACAGCAACACTGCCAATGTAATCAAGATAGGCACTGCTCGTATGGCTCTGGCTTTGACAGTTCGTTTGGCTCAAAACCAGCCAATCCGCGTCCGCTCATCTCTTATCCTAGACCCTCTCTAAAGCTGGGTTAAGATGGTTCAATTCAGCGTTCAACTCACTTGAACTGCGAAATGAACGTCCAGAAATCTGACCGATATCGGACTTGCTCTATTCGTTGTCAAGTCAATTGAACGCCTACGACCAGATCGGTTTGAGTTGAATTCAACTCACCTGCCTCATCTAAATCCCGCTTAATGCAGACCTTTTCCGTGCAGTCAATAATCATACAATATAATACTAAAAAATTCCACCACTTGAAGATGTCAGGAAGGAACTCTCAGGTGGAAGCATATTTCATGGGCGATTCTCTCCAGTAGAATGCATTAACTTATCAACGACGTTCAACCACCAAGGAGACGTGACCTAGAGAGATCGAGTGCAGGGGAGTTGGCCTCCATTTCTCACAAGTTCCGGATCGAATCTCAATCCATAACCAGTACACGCTGAGTTTTCTCCGGAGAGAATTCGATACCCAGCTTCATATTTAGCCCAAGTAGACAAATTGTCTAAGGTATCTTGCAATGGTCCTTGCAGGTCCGGTGCACTTGGCCCTATAACGGACACAACCCCGTCATCTGCAAGCTGCAATCATTTTCTCCAACAATTTCCGTATACAGGACAGCATTGCGATGGAACGGAACGAGTTATAATCCGACGCGGGTTTACCGGGTTTTCGAATGGCGATAACCACAGGAGTGGAATTTCGGATCAGAAAGTGGCTCCATTTGTCATTTGCGAACACTAGCGCACCTAGCGGTAGAAGGCATCTTCTGCCTGCAGTTAAGATAGGCAGCATGCTATGATAGTGTGAGTGTACATAGAATGCCCGTGTGGAACGCTACCACAACACATCGCTTGTTGAGCAGAAAAATGAACCACGTTTTGATTCACGGATTTGTTTGCACTTCCCCTTCTGTTCTGTGCGATAACTCTTACTTGCCTCCAGTCATCCGGAACAATGTTGTGCTCCAGAAATTGATTGAATAAGTTCAACAAGCGTCTCTTCGTGACGTTTGGGAGATTTTTGAGCAAGTTGAACTTGATTCTATCCATTCCGGGAGCTGAGTTGTTACATGAAGTGAGAGCAAGTGAGAATTCCACCATCGAAAACGGGGAATCTATTTCGTTATTACCCGACGGACGATCACGAACGTTGGTTTGAACCGGTACCGAATCCGGGCAAACTTTCCGCGCGAAGCTGAAAATCCATCTGTCCGAGTCTAGTGCTATGATCACACACTCACTCAGCGATCAGCAAATCGGTTTTATGTTTCAAACGCATACTTTGTAACCTCTTCTTGTAAGTTACAAGTAAAACATGTCATCATACCACCGACAAACCGACATGAATGACCATAGCTAATTCAATAAAATTTCTGACCAAAGTACGCTACTGACATCTGGCTCCGTTTTCGCGGGAAATATTTAGCTAAACCATGAACCCGCATGTAAAAGTTATGAATTGGTTCGTGTCTGGACAAATTATTTTGATCTAGATCAAAAACTCCTATGGTTTTGACAGTTCGGATCACTGCACATTTAAATCGGCCGTGTATGATTTTAGGGCATAAGTCAGAATTAAGCGTCATGTCGGTTTGTCGGTGATCATACCATCTTTTGGTTTTATTATTCCGAAAAACATTATTTTAGCTGAAATGAGTATTTGCAACCTTGAATTATATCAGTGATTTTGTCAAATTATCTTAACAGAAAATAGCATAAATTCTCATTATTTATCATTACCAAAAGTATCTCATGACAATTCAATGCTCACTGTTTATTTATGATCATTTCTTCGATTATATTTCATATTTCATTACAATACCTTTTCATGGACCTTTCATAGCATCGTAATGTTTGTCTATATACTTTGCACGATAAGGCCTGTATAGAGATCGAAGCGAAGCAAAAATCTCATACAAAATACTACATTTTTCACCTGCGTGAAAAACGCAATTGGCAAATATTTCGTTTCGCTTTGAACTGTAAACAGATACGATCCAGCGAAATCTAATTTTGTGGATCGTATCTTTTTCGCTTACTTTTATTTTTTTCGCGCATGCAGCGCTAGCGAAAAGAGCAGCATCTAAGTGAAAAGTTGACGTTGCGAGAAAGAGCGTATCTGTCTGATTTTCACTTCACCGGAGGTGTAAACTGATCGATTTCGTTTCACATGAACTGTAAACTGCGAAAAAAAGGAAACTGGAAAATGTTCCACAAACATTTTTTCACAACCTTTTTCGCTAGCGGAATTTCATGATTTTTCGCGTGCTTCAATTTTCGTTTCGCTTCGATCTGTATACTAGGCTATAGTATGTAGGGAATGAATGGAACTGGGCTATAGTAAAGTGAAATAACTTTGGCTCGCTTTAAGAGTTCATTTCCATCCATTATCTACAGATAGGTAGCCGGTTTGACTGTTAAATAGGTAGACTTGGCTTCGCTCTTAAGGCCGGAGCACAATAGATACGTTTTCAGGTTTTTTGACAGTAAGCCCATGCATTATCTGTCAAAAAACCCGAAAACGTATATGCTTTGTACGCCGGCCTTTAGCGTGTCTCATTATACACCGACTCTAGTAAAACCTAAAACGAAGGTATGACAGAACCGAGGACAGAACAAAACAGCTTACTCTTTCACACTTGTATCGCAGTGCTGAATGCTATAGAAAGAGTAGTCTGTTGCAGTCATCTTCAACCACTACCCTAATAAACGGGTACCATACTCTAACGAAATCATAGATGGTACGACTATCCCACATAAAGTTGGGATGATATCCCGAATTGGGTTCTTTAATTTTGAAAAAATATATTGGTTTTTATATATCATCTGAAAAAGCTTCGTTTTCTGAGCACAGCGATATTTTTTTCGAACCCACAAACTTTCATCTCGATTTTTAAACCAAGATTTAAAGCAAAATAATAACTTCACTGTTTGACACTAAACTGACAAAATGACAGCTCGCTCCCATACAAAGTGACACCGAGGGGCGCTAATAAGGTGATTTTTGCAAAATTAATCGTTGTTATTTAAAATAGTTCCAGTCTACCAAAATTGATGAAATTTTGGGCTTGGGTTCCATTTTTAATGCAGATTACGAATATGCATTTACCTCAATACCCTTAAAGAACCCAATTGATGGTTAGGCGCTTCTTATGGTTATTGTTTATGCGGGTATATTCATCACATTGATGTGAGCTCCGCCGAAATGCGTGATTGTTGAACCAGTCTCTGGCTTAAAGCCTCTACACTAAAGCTAACCCACACGGTAAGAAATATTGTCAATACCGAGGTCAATACTTACAAGTATTGACAATCATATTGATGATGTGAATACAGAAATATTGTCAACACTGGTGTATTGACGCCAATATAGAATGTATTGACAATACGATTATTGTCAATACAAACAGTCGTGTACGGTCCACTTAATACAATTCCACACATTTTTATTGAAGAATTTCCATGTGAAATTTCACATGCTTTTCATGTGACCACACATAAACAGAATCCACCCAGAAGCACACATGAAATTTATGATTAAAATGAATAGTATGTGTGGTTACACATGGCCTTTATGTATACACATATTGGTTGATCACATTGCAAAAATTCATGTGTGGGACACATAAAAACAACCTTTGAAGTTTTATAAGTGTATAATAAATAAAAACTTTTGTTTTTTTTTGGGATAACATCATAGCGTTACTCTTGTTACATTCTATCAAACAATTTGACATCACATGTTCCTGATTGCGGCCCTGATAACAGAATAGCTCATTTTTATTTACAAGTTTTATGGTCGGCTTTCTGATTGAAAAATTCCGGAAAAATTGTGAAATTACTCTGCAAATTCAGTAAAAAACGCACCGCTCATTACGGTACCCGGTGAACTCAACCATTCCCCAGCGAAAATGACTGCTTTCGAAGGTAAGTTTAAAGCCAAAACTGCATTATTAAATGATTTTTACACATCGTGGTTCTGCTCCCATTTAGAGTTCGGCGTAATGTCGGAGATTGGCAGTGCGATCGACGAAATGGAATGGATGCTACCGACGGACGTACAGGCGGAAGCAATCCCGTTGATTCTGGGCGGTGGGGATGTGCTGATGGCAGCGGAGACCGGCAGTGGCAAGACGGGTGCGTTCTGTTTGCCCATTCTGCAGATTGTTTGGGAAACGTTACGAGATATTCGTGATGGAAAGGCTGGAAAACCGGTAGGACATAAGACAAAACCATGGACTCTCTCCTATACGGATCGGGGTCATGCAATGGCGGTGACCCCGGATGGAATGCGCTGTCAGTCGCGGGAGTTTAAGGAATGGCACGGATCCCGAGCGACCACTGGAGTGCGTGGTAAGGGCAAGTACTACTACGAGGCTACGGTCACGGACGAGGGACTGTGCCGTGTGGGATGGAGTACGGAACATGCGAGCTTGGATCTGGGAACGGACAAGTTTGGATTTGGATTCGGCGGGACCGGAAAGAAGTCCAATAGTAAGCAGTTTGATAGCTATGGAGAGGCATTCGGAAAGATGGACACGATCGGGTGTATGCTGGATTTGGACCGCGGAGAGATCAGTTTCGCGAAGAACGGAACGATGCTGGGATTGGCGTTCAAGATCAACGATGGAAATTTGAAGAACTCAAGTTTCTACCCAGCGGTGGTACTGAAGAATGCCGAAATGTCCTTTAACTTTGGCGAAACGGATTTCAAGTATGCCATTCCGGATGGATTCGTTGCGGTTTGCAAGGTGCCACATGACAACTTGGCGGTTAATCCGAATACGGGAGGCGATAGTGCTTCGCAGGATTCGAAACCGAAGCCGAATGCACCGCAAGCGATCGTGATTGAACCATCCAGAGAGTTGGCAGAACAGACATTCAATCAGATTCAGAAGTTCAAAAAACATCTCAAAGATCCGGAAGTTCGAGAATTGCTGGTGATCGGAGGAGTTAGCATCAAGGATCAGATGGAGGTGCTGCAGCGTGGTGTGGATATTATTGTAGCAACTCCGGGTCGATTGGAGGATTTGATAAGCAATGGGTATGTGTTGTTGAGTGGCTGCCGCTTCTTCGTGTTGGATGAAGCTGACGGTTTGCTGAAGCAGGGTTACACGGAGCTGATCGAACGATTGCATAAGCAAATTCCAAAAATTACAGCCGATGGCCATCGACTGCAGATGGTTGTTTGCAGTGCCACCTTGCATTCATTCGAAGTCAAGAAGCTAGCCGAACGGCTGATGCATTTCCCTACTTGGGTAGACTTGAAGGGAGAGGACGCCGTTCCGGAAACAGTCCATCACGTAGTTTGCATGGTTGATCCGCAGAAGGACAACGGTTGGCAATCGTTGCGACAGCACATTCAGACCGATGGGGTTCACGCCAAGGATAACGTTCGCCCGGGGTCCAATACGGCCGAAACCCTATCCGAAGCGATCAAAATGCTCAAGGGAGAGTACACGCTGAATGCAATCAATGAGCACAACATGGACCGGGCGATCATATTCTGCCGCACTAAGCTTGACTGTGACAACATGGAACGCTATCTGCGGCAGGTTGGCGGCAACAAGTACTCGTGCGTTTGTCTGCACGGCGACCGGAAACCCCAGGAGCGGAAAGCCAATTTGGAGAAGTTCAAGAACAAGCAGGTCAAGTTCCTTATCTGCACGGACGTGGCGGCGCGTGGATTGGATGTTTCTGGTAAGTGGTAGGCTTAAGTAAATTTGATGCATTTCTATTGCCTTTTGGATGTTTAGCATATATGTAGGTGTTGATCGATAAGCTTTGCTGCAATTATCTGAACAACGGTTAATTGTTTTGATAATTTTCCTCAGGCCTTCCGTTCATAATCAACGTAACACTGCCGGATGAGAAGAGCAACTACGTGCATCGGATTGGTCGCGTTGGCCGTGCCGAGCGTATGGGTCTGGCCATCTCGTTGGTATCAACCGTACCGGAAAAGGTCTGGTACCATGGTCAGTGGTGTAGTTCACGTGGTAAGAGCTGCTGGAATACCAATCTCACCGATGTGAAGGGATGCTGCATGTGGTACGATGAGAAGATGTACCTGGCGGAAATCGAAGACCACCTGAACGTGACCATCCAGCAGATCGACAAGAACTTGAAGGTTCCGTTGAATGATTTCGATGGTAAGGTGACCTACGGTGAGAAACGAAAGAACACCGGCACCGGTTACAAGGATCACGTGGAACAGCTGACACCGGTTGTCAAGGAACTGGCCAACCTGGAACGCGAAGCGCAGAATCTTTTCCTAAAGCGATCCATGATGGTTAAGTAAATATTTAAGGTATGCATTCTACTTTATCACCCTTATTCTGTATTTCGTTTCGAACGAAATTCTCATACAAAAAAATATTTTTTTGTATGAGAATTTCGTTCGAAACGAAATACAGAATAGGGGTGTATATCTTCGTCTCATTGTAATACATACTACTCTCTCATAATCTAGAAAGGTTCTTTTGCGTACATCTCCGTTACTAGAAAAGTGAGAAATCCGTGTTTCGAAAATCAGTGAATCCAAACGCTTACATCTAATACACCATTACATGGAATGATTTTATTGATCTAAACAGTTACACTTGAACCGAAAAATAAGCAACAAACAGCGATCAGCTTAATACCATTGGGGAAGATCTTAACCACGGTTGGCAATCAAATCATCTGGGCTGAACATGCCCTGTAGAGAAAGGATAAAATTCAAAATATAATTCCACAGGAATTCAAATTGCACCATCAAAACACATACCTTAGCACGTCGCAGGATCGAATCCTTGGTCGCGTCATACGGGTGGTCCTTGGAAGGAATCTCCAGCACGGCCGGGGTCGGCGAAGTGTGCGCATCGATCACGTGACGGATCATTTCCGCGTAGTTCTGGTTGATCAGGATGATGTCGATGTCGTCACGCTTGATGAAGCGCTTAAAGCAATCCTCGATCTCGCTGACGGCAGTGTCTGTGGCAAATCGGGGGAATTCAATTGTTTAGAACCAAGCTAACGAACTAGTTTGAGAGATGATCCATAGGAGATAGCCAAATCCGATGTAAACTTACTCTTATCACAAACCATGAAATTGGGGTGACGGTTTTTATTGATCTCACCAATGCCTCCCAGCAGAAAACCAACGCAAGTGTCCTGAAATAAAATCCAATTTAACGATTTGTTTCCTAAATCATAAAATCTACTACGCAAGTCCCCCATTCTGGTGAAAACGCAGACTCTAAAAATCATAAATCCACCTATCTCAACCTACCTCATCGCCGATGACGGAAATGAGCTTTCCCTTTACAGCGGATAATAGAGCCATATTGAATGAACGGTTTCCTGTGAAGAACAAGGGAAAATATCGATAAAAATTCACAAATTTCACTAAAAATCAACCCAAACTACCTGCAGACTGCTTGCTCAAGAACAAGGAAAATATGTCACCTGATCAAAAATTAATCATCTGAGAACAGTTACTGTCAGTCTATTTGTTGGCGTTACGGGTGTTAGCTAGATTTGACAGTCGAAAGTTTGTAACCGCGCCATGTCGATGCATTCTGCAACACGGTTCAATTTGTTTCAAAAAACAAACACAATCGGGCGATTGTCTAGGAGCTACGCCGCTTACAACTTCGTATTTTTCATTAAATAATTAGAATTATATAGTTAAGTGGACTTCCCCTTTTTGTGCCATTGCGGTGCCTTTATCAGTGATTATTTTAAGATGAATCCCATGACGTAAGTAATATTTTAATCCAACCAATGTGATTGCTTCTGGGATCACGATTCGCTACGCTGCACAGTGGAACCATTCTAAAAAAAGACGGTCAAAACTCTCCCCACAGTTCCCGATGTTTTAGTGTTTAGGTGTCTTCGAAGAAGTTTCTTGAAATATTATTCTGCATCTTTTGAAATATGCACTTGAATTTTCATTAAGGTAGTATTACGGTTAGAAAAACTAACTTTTTGTAATTACAAGATGATACACTTATAAAATTTCAAAGATTGTTTTTATGTGTCCCACACAGGATTTTTTACAATGTGATCAACAAATGATATTTATGTGTCGGACACATACTTAATATGTGTACCCATAAAAGCCATATGTAACCACACATGCTATTCATTTGACTCATAAATTTCATGTGGGCTTCTGGGTGGATTCTGTTTATGTGTGGTCACATGAAAATCATGTGGAATTTCACATGGAAATTCGTCAATAAAAATGTGTGGAATTTTAAGAAACTTTGCTAAAGACACCGAGTTTCTACATCATAATTATTGCGATATATAATTGGATTACTGTCAGGACTACCTTAAAATCGATGTTTTAACTTGTTTGTATCATATATCTTGACTAATCGATTCGACATGTTCTACAGAAATTTTCAATATCGAAATACACTATTTTTCTGAAGACAGAAGCAATGTATATCGCTTTATTTGCTTTGTAAAGCGGTTTTAAGGAAAATAATTTGCAATTTTGCAATTAAAACTTCTCTGAAGATGGCAGTTCTGGCAGCCAAAATTAGCATTTTTTTTTGATCAAGCATAATATCGAAGAAATCATAACAAGAAGACTGGCAACTTTGCCAGAATCTAAGCGACAGATACAATAGCGCTGCGATTGAGCGAAGGTGGAAGCAACGCATAGAAAAATGAGCAAATACACAAACCTTTCTTCTGAGGATGTTATCTTTGCTTTCAAATTCGTTCCATGTATTTGCCTTTGAGCGACAGATGACGCAATTGTACCTGTATCATAGCGAGTTGCCAGTCTTCTTGATATGTTGTCTTCGATAATACGAAGCATTAGTATACCAAAATCATTTTTTATATATTTATTAAGGAGACTTTCAGCCCTGGGCTAGTTCGTCTCCGAAACCAAAATCATGGTCGAGTCTCGAGAATTCACATAAAAAAGTAGAAGGGTCTGTGCCTAGGGGCACGAACGGAAGCTTGACGTAGGACCGCTAGTGGACGGAATTAATGTGAACATTTAGTTCTTTTAATTGATCAATCATCAATTATCTTAACTCTTTCCGTTTTTTTATTTGTAAGCGTATCAAATTTGTAGTATTTATTTCAAAGAGAAAGTTGATGAAGAGAATCCAAGGGACTGTCAACTTGAGTATTTTCGATTTATCTACCCGACTTTGTTATTTATGAATTTTTAAGATTTGTGCATTTTGGTATTAAAGTGTATTCAATTCACCCCTCACAGGATTTCATTCCGAATTATATGAATGGGGCGGGGCGGAAATTATCGTTTGTGCAGAATATGTAAAAAAGGAGGGACTTCGAGAGATTGAATTCGTGAGGGCTAATTTTCTCACAAATTTGATTTTATTGGCTTTCTGGGGACTGAATATACACCCAAAGCGAGCTATTTCCACTTCTCTCAAATTCTATTTGGATTTTTAACACTTCCTACCAGCGTGTTCTGGAAAATGGTCGGACGATGATTAATCTCACCAATACATTCGGGCCTACAATTCCACACCTTAAATAGAGACCAGATTGAGCCTTGATAGCTAGCTGCTTGCGGGAACTGATGACATTGACCAATGTCCAAATAATACTCTTTAACAAATTTTAGGTGGCCCTGAAAAGGACCGTTTTGTAGTGATGGTTGAGTAATTCTGAGCTTGGTGTTCAACACGGATGAGGCTGTCGAGCTGTATGTCGTTTGGAGCGAGGGTGACACGCTTGGCATAGATGACCGACCCGCAGCAACTCACGAAGAGCTACTGATTCCGATCCATAGCATAGCGGTGCAGCTTCTTCCTCCTTTAATGGTTGCTTATGTGGGCTCTGCAGCTCGCTGCTTGCAGGCAGCCTTTCGTTGTTACTGGAGAAACATTTTCAACGCCACACGCCGAAAGCACTGCTACTGCTGCTACTAATTTCGACGACCGAACACCACCACACAGTGGTGTGTTCGTTGGGAGCGTGTGGTTCTGAGTATGGCGATGAGTGTGCAAAATATTACGCAGTATTCGCACGCACCCGAGGATCGGATGCGAATGCCACTTCGACTTGTTTCGTCTACTTACTACTCTCTGACGACTGTGCTGGGGAAGCAGCATATGCATGTAGGTAATTGGTGGATTTGTTAGTTAATTCGACGCTTTTGGGCAATGCTGGACATTTACCAGTTTTTCAATAGTTTCTTGTTGAAAATCAACATTTGGAAGCATTGTTATCGATGCGTAGCCATATTTCTGATCGATTGGTGATAAAGTTATTGAAATTGGACCAGGGGCAGCTGAGTTATTAACGTTCAAAATCTTTCTTAATTTGTTACATGTTCCATTTTCGGTTTTCACAAAGTGTACCCCCAAATAGAAATCAAAGACGTAGTCCTACGTCAAAAATCATCGGATTTAATAAAACGATTGTTCTGTTAAGGAAGAGCGTAACCCTAATAAAATTTGTATGGTTATTTTGCTTAATGACGTGTTCGGTTATCATCCAAACCATGTATGGAATAGTTATATCATTCAGGTATGATATTTTTTTATTAGGGAAGGACGATCCTAAAAGAAAATTTTCGTAGATGCTTCTGAAGTTGCTGAACGTAGCTTCTAAATGATGAAAGTAGCTTCTTGAAGAAGCTTATCCAGCTTTCCATGCTCGGTAATGGCAGCCTGTTTGTATGAATAAATGTATCCTTCACTGTGCTTTTTGGCCCTATCCAGCGGATTTTGATCCCTCCCTTTCCATCTCCCAGAAACAGAAGAAAATGGAACAACATACGCCCTCCAGTTACTGTCAAAAAGCACAGTGAAGGATACATTTATAATAAATGATTTATTCATACAAACAGGCCGCCATTACCGAGCATGGAAAGCTGGATAGGAAGAGCATCGCATCGAACAGTCCAAGAAAGAATGAGCGAAGTAGCAATAGTAAAATTAAGTTTATTTCTTCATTCCTTTATTTAACGTTGGTCTCTCAAGCACCAACGGACATCGATTGCCATCCATTGACCACAATCGAATGTGTAGGAAGGCAGCTTCCACACCTGCATAGTATATCGCGGCGATTCAAATACACGGTTTTACTTCTATTTCGAAGGAAAACGTGACCAGAGATTTTTATGCCTCAGAAAAATCCCACCAACATATGTTAGATCGCTTTTTCAAGGAGGAGCTTTCATAACCCTGAGAGAAGGCTGAAAGGTCTGTAGCTGGAAGGAGATGAAGGATCCGTCCCAAGTTTCCGGATGGGTATGACTTTAACTAACTTCCAGCACGAGGGGAAGTAGCCAAGCCTAAGGTAATCATAGAATCTAGAACTCAAATGTTTGAGCTCTAGATTCAAGATGTTGTTGAAACCTTCAGTTAGTCAGCTGAAATCTCTGAAACTTCGCGGAAGTTGTCGGGAATGGAATGGAGGTTGGCTGCATTTTCAGCAACAGCAGCCTCATGTGGACTAATCATGTTTTGCCGAGATTATGGAAGTTGATGAAGTGTTGGCCAATCACAGTAGCCTTCTCAACAGGAGTTATCATCGGGACGATTCAGTGGAACCAGTGTTTAGCTTCCAAGGCAGGCTTTGCACAATCTGGGAGAGAACGGATCTTATTGGCAAAATCGTTATATCTGAAATCCACCATCCTGGCCTGAATGATCTTTGTTACTCGATTTCAATTGGTCTTCAAGTTAGGCAGACCAGTACGCTGGTACTGCCTATGAATAGTGTTACGGAGTCTAATGAGGTCTTTAGTATGGCTGTCAAGGTTCAGAGTGTTACTCACTAAAGCCCTACAGTAAAAGTATGGACGACTGTCACCACAAAACTGAAAAAAGCTGTTCCAATCGAGCAAAGCGGTGCATTTTGACGGTTCGATTGGAACAACTTTTGACAGACGTCCATACTTTTACTGTAGGGCTTTATTACTCACCTGTCTGGGTACTGGCACGTGTTGTTCCCTGACCAGGGAAATCGCCTCCTCGATGGTACACTCAAAAAATTCCACACGTCATCATCATGTGTCTCACACTTAATTTTGCGCTTATTGTGAAACACATCCATTTCATGTGTGAATCTTATGCTATGAACCATGCCTGAACACTATGGATTTGAATTGTGACAAACTTGGATTCTATGTGCCTCATATGGTGATATCAATAGCTTTGCACATCATAGTTCAATATTCTACTTTATCGACTTCTACTTTACCGACTCTAAAAATGAATCAACTAATATATAAACAAAACTACCAGAGGCCAGAGCTTACACATGTCTTTTTAATGGGTCTGATTTGGGATTCGATCATGGACTGTTGGAGTGTGGTGCTGCCGGAATCTTCGTTCAATCTCACTGTGCCACGGTTGTTCTCATATATGAGGCGGGTTGATAGGATGAAGTCACAACTCTTGTTTTCGATGTTTACCTTTCTGAGCAAGCAATTCACATCGTATTTAAATGCAAAACACTTTAAATCCATCTGTTTTGAACAGTAATGTGATTCAATGTGCAATACACTTGAATAGATAGTGAAAGATTTTCAACATTTCAAAGTTTGAAACACTTTAAATTAACGTGTATGACACATTGAACCAAGGTGATATACACATAAAGTAAATGTGATTGTGCATTTAAAAAATCAAGTTTTTAAACACTTCGATCGAACGTGTGGCATTTTTTGAGTGTATGTAGACATCTTAATATTCTTAATCAACCGATGCATCGCCGCAGTGTTGAAACAGCTGGCTGGCATGCCGCCATGTTATTGAAACCAACATCTGAAACGTCACAATTCCAGTGTGAACTGCAAAAATGGCGTGACTGAATTGTCTTATTTTTATCAAATGAAATTATTTTCCCTTTTATGCCATATAAATGGTTGACTTCGTGGAAGAAAATCAGAAAATAATATTTTATGAGTCCTAAGTTTATTTTTCACAAAATGTAAGCAAAAATATTAAGAATATCCATAATATCAGTCACGCCTTTTTTGAAATTCTGGCTTGAATCTTCTATTTGTTTACAAATTATGAGCTGTCAGTGGGGCCCGCAATTCGCGGGTCCGCAGCGATGTTAGCTCTTTTCAAGGCAAGGCAAACAAGATAGGGATGCCAGGTACCTGTGTTGAAACCGTTCGCAGTTGACACGATGTTAGTTGCGCCGGAAAACTTCAAATCAGTTCACGGAGGATTCTCCCTCAAGTCCGACCTGAGTTCCTGGAAGGCAACTGGTTGCGATATGTGGGCCATGTTGCTGATGTAGATGTCAATGTTGGCGTGAGAACCGGACCGACTCAGTCGGGCGGGACCAGACTAAAGATGTTGTAGTTGTGCTTCTTGAAGGTCATTGTTCAGGATGATTGCATATTAGTTGCGCCGACTGTTGACCCAAGCTTGATGTTTGGCGTTTAGGTTGCCAGCGATGATGTATTTTTGCCGCCGTCGAGTCAGCTTGATGATATCTCGTCGAAGGTCCGCTACCGTCCAATCCCTGTTGTTGACTTGTCTGGGCCAGTAAGTCGCAATGATGGTGATGTAGCCAAGCGATGTTCCAACCTCAACCCCGATGGCTTCGATAATTTTGAGTTGAATATTCGGCAGCAGGTGGCAGTTGATGTTGCACCTCACAGCAACGGCTACTCCCCCTCCTCTTGCACTGGTTCTGTCGAGTCTCAAGAGCCGAAAGTCCGATAGGTGCACGATGATGGGTTTCGGTGAGTTCGATATGCTTGTTCTTCAACGAACAAGCGTTCCAATTTACAATCTTTGTAACTTCACGGTCCATAGATAGTGACGAGGGACAGGGAAGCATGAAGCTGCTCAGATCGGGTCTTGCAAATGCGCAGGATGATGATGACCTCTGCCACGAGTGTTACCAGTTCCTCCGAGGTAAACGGGGAATCTTCAACGGACTCATCTGACACAGCACTGGCATACGATAAACCATGGGCAGTTTAGGGACCTTGGTTCAGCTAGGCCGCTGAAGCAGTGAGGCGATACTGTTTAGAACGACGACCGGGGGTTGCTTGCTCTGTTGGAGAATGCCCAGCTAACCCGAATAAATTTGTTATGGTTATTTTGCTACGATTGCGTACGATTGTTGCGGTGGCTACCGGTCTGGTTGCCTGTTTGCGCCTTTTGGCGAATATTAATTAGGGAAAATGCAGGTAATGTCGGCCTAAGTGTCCCTAATTTGGGCCCATACATAAATTCAGCAATCGACTAAATTTTCAATAGCGACCAAAAATATCCATTAGTAACGTCACAATAACGCGTTCATCTAGATGAAATTGATAAATAGCTGATTTTTAGCGATGGGCCCAATCTTAGATCCATAGGCCAACATTAGAGGCATTTCCCCTATTTCCGCTCGCTTTGGGCAGTAGCGGCTGGAGGCACGGTGCTTTCCACCGCAGTTGGCACTCTTCGGTTCATTAGATTGACCACAGGAAGCTGTCGCGTGGGTCCCTCCACACTTGTCACAGCGTGGCTTCGGCCATTTTTCGAGCCATGGCCTTGAGAGAAGCAGTTCATGCACTGTGTTACATCACGGTGTCGAGGTCTATACGACTGACTAGAGATAATGACCTGAAACAGATCCCGGATGTTGTCCTTCATCCCAGCAAGTGTGGTGAAGCCCTTCGTAAAGCGGACCAGGAATAACTGGTCCCGGTAGCTGACAAAAAACCATTACATCGCCATCGTCAATTTCTAACATTCGTTGCGATGTTCATGAACAGAGGATGATAGGAAACGGAACTAACATTCATTGTAATAGATTTTTGGTTTGCGTGTATGTATAACCGAACAACTCGAGAAAGCGAGCGGGAATCCGAACTCCGAACCGAATGAACTGCTTGACGATCAAGTGAAAAACTTTTTTTACTTTACATGATCTTTATTCCTTGTATTTGTGTGGTTTACAAGTATGAATTATCAAGTGACACAAATGCGTCTTTACAGTTCCTAGTCCTATCAGGCCTATTTAGAGAATGCCCACCTTGGTGGGATTGGTTTGTTTGAAATTGGAAAAAAGAGACTACTTATAACTAATTTTTACAACTACAACTGCTATATGCAAATTGCTTATCAAAGCATGTTCTGGTGTGTTGCATTTTTGCACAAATCTAGTTTTAATTTCATCAATCTTTGAATATACTATGGGAACGTTCGCCTCTTGGTGGAGGTCTGAAATTCTTGTGTCGAAGGGACGATCAAGGACCATCCTCAGCACGCTATTATGAGCGACCTGGATTTTGTTCCTATGAGTTTGTGCACATGATTCCCACACCGGAGCTGCGTAGAGGATCGCAGGTGCTATGATTTGTTTGTAGATAGCCAGTTTGTTCATCCTTGAGAGGCGCTATCTACGATAAATCAGTGGATACAGACATGTAACCAAGGCAGAACACTTAACTACGGTTTTCTCTACGTAAAGGAACTTTTCATTGACCAACATCCCGAGATAGATTACTTTAGCAGACCACTCAACCCTTGTCTCCTTTTTCCTTTATTTAACGTCGGTCTCTGTTCCGCAATCTAGTGCCAATCACCGACGGACATCGATTGCCATCCATTGACGGCAATCGAATGTGCAGGAAGGCAGCTTCCACACCTGCGTAGGATATCGCACCCATTCACAATTCACAACACACATGGGCCGGGACCAACGGCTTTGCTTCCCTTCCGAAGGAAGACGTGACCAGAGATTTTTATGCCTCAGAAAAATCGGAAAAATCCCACCGACCACGGCTGGGGATTGAACCCAGACCCATTGGGGTGTTATAAAGCAGTCACGCTTACCACTACACCACCGGCGCCGGCTTACTCAACCCTTGTGCCATCCATGATTACAGTACAAGATGGAGGCGGTTTTAGTTTGGGCGATTGCCGATTGAGGTTTAGAGGCATTGATTTTAGTTTTCCACATGGTGGCATAATCAGCAAAGGCTTCAAGGCATCGTTGAAATTTGTTATTTCGCGAGGTATCATCTGCGAACAGAAAAAATACGCAACCGTCTCCGAGGGGAGGAATGTCGGAAGTGTAGATGCTGTAAAGCAGAGGGCCCAACAGACTTCCTTGCGAAACACCTGATGGGATGGAAAACGTGTTTGAAAGACAACCATTTAACGATACATTAAACGACCTTTGCTGGAGGGTGATTTTAACCAGATGTAATGGGAAGTTGAAGTTACAAAGCTTATACACATGTCCGTCATGCCAGACATTGTAAAACGTCTTTTCAACGTTTAGCAAGGCCGTGGCTGTGGACTTGGATACAGCTCTGTTACTTCGGATGTTATTCATCACGCGTATTAGCTGGTGATTAGTGGAGTGCCCCTTCCTGAACCCGAACTGTTCCTCGACAAACTTGAGATTGAGTTTCTCGAAGAATTTGCTCAGCGCTGAAAAAAGGCTGATTGGTCTGTAGCTTGAAGAAAATGTTGGATCCCTACCGGGTTTGCGGATTGGTATTATTTTTGCTACCTTCCATATGCTTGGAAAGTAGCGCAGCCCCAAGCATCTGTTAAAAATAGCGGTCAAATAGACTGCTGAGTCTCTTCAAAATTAAAAGTTGAATATGCCGTCAAACACGATAGTCTTCATATTCTTGGTTTATTTCAGCGCTGAGTATATCTGTTGTAGTATTTTAATTTCACATCCTCTATTCCCCACTTTAGCAACATGAAAAATGTGCTCAAGCTGAGCGAGCAGGACCTAAAGTACGGAGGTAAAAACTCCTGGCACGAGCAGTACAAGGACAGTGCATGGATATTCGTCGGTGGCCTACCGTCCGAGCTGACCGAAGGTGACCTGTTGGCGGTATTTTCCCAGTACGGGGAAATTGTCAACATCAATCTGGTGCGGGACCGGAAAACGGGCAAATCGAAAGGATTCAGTTTCATCTGCTTTGAGGACCAGCGGTCCACAGTGCTGACGGTAGACAACATGAACGGTATCAAACTGCTGGGGAGAACGTTGCGGGTGGATCACGTGTCGGACTACAAACCACCCAAGGATGACAAAGCGGATGAAGAAACGAAACGGCTGTACATGGAAGGGTGTGCTCCGAAATACAGCTAGGTAAATGAGTAATAAATTATTCTTTTGTACATATATTGTTTGCTCGATATATTTATATATCACATCCTGGAATTTAATTTCGAATTTCAATATGAACCAACACATCAGTCCACACCGTTCGACGAGTGCGAGCAATTTAGTACTACTGTGTTACCTGTCTTATGAATTTAGACCTATTACGGGTAAGTTTCTGAAGTTTTTTTGGCGGAAACCCCGATAGTTTCAAAAACTTTGAACAATTATTTATTTAAATTTGTATATTTCCTAATCAGATTTTAAATCTTGAGATTTAAATAAAAATCTATGCCGTCGCCCGTCACCATTTGCAAGAGAGTTCGTGGGGCAATACCAGGCGGCATTCATGGGTGCCCGCGCTACCACGGACCAAATTTTCGCGATTCGGCAGGTTCTGCAGAAATGCCGCGAATACAACGTGCCCAAACATTATTTGTTCATCGATTTGAAATCCGCATACTACACAATCGATCGAGATCAGCTATGTCAGATTATGCACGAGTACGGATTTCCGAATAAACTGACGCGATTGGTCAAGGCGACGATTGATCGAGTGATGTGCGTTGTTCGAGTATCGGGACACTCTCGAGTTCCTTTGAATCTCGAAGGGGGTTACGGCAAGGTGATGGACTTTCGTGTCTGCTATTCAACATCGCGTTAGAAGGTGTGATCAGAAGAGCTGGGATAGACACGAGTGGCACGATCTCTAGGAAGTCCATCCAGCTTCTTGGCTTCGCCGATGACATCGACATCATGGTACAGAACTTTGAGACGATGGCGGAAGCTAGACGGATTGGACTTGCCAACGCATTGAAGACAATATACATGAGAGGAAGAGGTTCTAGGGAAGACAATGTTAGCCTCCCACCCCGAGTTCAGATTGACGGTGACGAAATCGAGGTGGTCGATGAGTTCGTGTATTAGGGCTCACTGGTGACCGCCGAAAAGGATACCAGCAGAGAAATTCAAAGACGCATTATGGCAGAGAATCGAGCCTATTTTAGACTCCGGAGGACGCTCCGGGCGAATAAAATTCGCCGCCGCACGAAGTTGACTGTCTACAAGACGCGGATTAGACCGGTGGTCCTATACGGCCACGAGACCTGAAGGTGTTGCGTACCATCTACGGTGGAGTGCAGATGGATGACGGAACGTGGAGGAGGCGAATGAACCACGAATTGCACCAGCTGCTGGGAGAACCATCCATCGTCCACATTGCAAAAATTGGGCGGCTACGGTGGGTTGGGCACGTCGTAAGAATGCCGCACGACGACCCAGTGAAAATGGTTCTAGAAAGCGACCCAACAGGCTGGCGAAGTGTGGTCATGGATCGAGTAGAGTTGAGACGACTTCTTCGGACAGCAGAGGACAACAAGGCCTTAGCCTGATTGGTAAGGTAAGTAAGACTTCAATCTTCTTTCCTTTATTTAACGTCGGTCTCTGTTCCGCAATCTAGTGCCAATCACCGACGGACATCGATTGCCATCCATTGACGGCAATCGAATGTGCAGGAAGGCAGCTTCAACACACATGGGCCAGGACCAACGGCTTTACTGCCCTTCCGAAGGAAGACGTGACCAGAGATTTTTATACCTCAGAAAAATCCCACTGACCTCGGCTGGGATTGAACCCAGACCCATTGGGGTGTTAGAAAGCAGTCACGCTTACCACTACAAAACCGGCGCCGGCTGAAGTAAGACTTCAATGAACAGCGATAAAATAAAATAAAAGTAGAAGGGTCTGTGCCTAGGGGCACGAACGGAAGCTTGACGTAGGACCGCTAGTGGACGGAATAAATGTGAAGAGCATTTAGTTCTTTTAATTGATCAATTATCTATTATCTCAACTCTTTCCGTTTTTGAATTGTAGGCGTATCAAATTTGTAGTAATTTTTTTCAAAGAGAAAGTTGATTAAGAGAATCAATCAAAATCACTTGCACCCCTGCTTTTAAGTTTGGTTACAAGATTACAACTCTGGAGAGCATTTTGTGTGGTCGTTGGAGGCTTGTGGTTCTGAATATGGACAAACAAGCACAGATAAATTCTATTCCAACTCTTTACTGATTTAAGCTTGATGGCCCTGAAAAGGGCCGTTTTTATTGAAGACGACATCCATGGCCACTTACGCTTGGCGTGTTTAGTGTAGGTGACAGCATACGGACCTCATTTTCCAGGAACACCTTCAGCACACCTCGTAGATCAGACCGGAGATACGTTTGACACTACCACGGCGAGCCAGACGAACGATGGCGGTTATCTCGAAGAACTTTGCGATGACGCTTGGTGCCTCCTTTACCAGACCTTTTCCTCCTTTGCCACGACCAGTCAATTGTTGCTTGTTAGATGTGAAGGAGTGGACTAGCCACCACCCTCCTACTGCTGCTATTGCTGTTCACCACGCCGTCCGGAGCGAAAATGAGTTAATGCCAGTTTCCAGTTTAAATGATCTTTATTTTAGTTTAACTTGGACGATTACCATATAAATTTTTACTAAGTGATTTAATTGCTTTCTTCATCTTTAGGTATGGGCAAAATTCAAAATTTTGTTTTACAGAATTAGTCCTAGACTTAGTACACGGTCGACCACCTTGGTGGGATTGGTTTGTTTTGTTTTTAGAATTTGAAGAGAAACTACTTAATACTACTATTGACAGCTTAAAACTAACCTACTCAACTATATACACTTAACCTACTATGTACAAATTGCTTATTAAAGCATGTTCAGAAAGATTGCATTTTTGAATAAATTTAGTTGTCATATCATCAATTTTGGAATCTACTTTGGGAATTTCTGCCTCTTGATGGAGGTCTGCTATTCTTGTGTCGAATGGACGATCTAGGATCATCCTCAACACTCTATTCTGTGCAACCTGGATTTTGTTCCCGTGGGTCTGAGCGCACGATTCCCACACCGGGGCGGCATAGAAGATCGCGGGGGCTATGATCTGTTTGTAGACAGCCAGTTTGTTTTGCCTTGAGAGGCGGGATCTGCGGCAAATGAGCGGATACAAACACCTAACCAAGGCGGAGCACTTAACTAGGGTTTTCTCTATGTGCGAGCGGAACAGGAGCTTCTCATCGAACAACATCCCGAGATAAGTAACATCAGTGGACCACTCGACCCTTGTACCATCCATTATTACGGTACAGGAGGGAGACGGTTTAAGTTTTAATGATTGTCTGTGAAGGAACATGATCGCTTGGGTTTTCGAGGCGTTGATTTTGATTTTCCACGTGGTGGCATAATCAGTAAAGGTGTCAAGGCATCGTTGGAGCTTGTTCGTAATTTCACGAGGCATCCTACCCTTGACGGCTATCGCGGTGTCATCTGCGAACAGAAAGAACACGCAACCGTCTCCTAGAGGAGGGATGTCCGACGTGTAGATGCTGTAAAGCAGTGGTCCCAGCAGACTCCCTTGCGGAACACCTGCTGGGATCGGAAATTGTCCCGAAAGGGAACTATTCAACGACACCCTGAACGACCTTTGCTGGAGATAGTTACGGGTGATTTTCACAAGGTATGGTGGAAAGTTGGAGTTACAAAGCTTGTATATAAGTCCGTCGTGCCAGACATTGTCAAACGCCTTTTCGACGTCTAACAAGGCCATGGCTGTGGACTTGGATACAGCTTTGTTACTTCGGATGTTATTCATCACCCGCACTAGCTGATGATTGGTGGAATGCCCCTTGCGGAACCCGAACTGTTCCGGAAGAAGAATGTCATGTTCCTCCACAAACTTGTTTAGTCGGCTGAGGATCAATTTTTCGAACAGCTTGCTCAGCGCTGAGAGCAGGCTAATCGGTCTGTAGCTTGACGGTAGTGAAGGGTCTTTCCCAGGTTTGCGGATCGGGATGATTTTTGCCACCTTCCAGATGCTTGGAAAGTAGTGCAGCTCCAAGCATCTGTTGAGGATGGCAGCCAGCAGCGAGTGCACCCTCGCGCTGAGATTTTTCAACTCTAGGTTGAATATTCCGTCAAACCCGGGAGCCTTCATGTTCGTACTGTGTTTCAGCGCTGAGCAAATTTGTTCCTCTGTAATCCGTTCTTCTGGAGGGACGGCACAAGGGGAGGCATCTAACGTCTGGACGCACTGCACAACCTGGTTCTCGAGTGGACTTGGGATTGTAGAGCCAAGCAAATGCGATTGGGCAATGTGCTCCCCAATTGCATTGGCCTTCTCTTCGTTGGTGATAAGCCGTTCGTCATTGACTCTAAGTGGTGGAATGGGCTTGGGGTGAGACTTCAGCACCTTGGCAACCTTCCAGAATGGTCTGGAACGGTCGTCCAGGTTCTGAACGAGCCGCCCGAAACTCTCGTTCCGGATTGAGACCATTCTGGAAGCGATCTGCCGATTCAGATCGACCATTTCGTATTTACGCTGCAGATCCCCAGTCCGCTGAAACTGGCGTCTACGAACATTTCTGAGCCGAATCAAAAGTTTGGTGTGGGAATCAATTGCTTGAAACTTACCCCTCACAGGAACTCGTCGAACGCACTCTTCGTCAGCCACGGATATGGCTTGATGGAGACCCTCCAGGGCCCGGTCGATGTCCTCCACTGTGTCGAGCGGTGGGTTGTCGTCGATGTGGCGGTCGACCACGCGTCGAAACTGGACCCAGTTGACTCGATGGTAGTCCTTCCGCAGGCACGGTGCAGGGGCCACGTTGTAGCCCAGTTCGGTCAGCACCGGTTGGTGGTCCGAACTCAGGTCGTTGATGGCAACCGGCTTGGCTAATCCGGTGTTTGCCAAGAACAGGTCCAGCGTCGATGGGTTGCCCGCCGGTGATGTGAAGGTTGGTTCGTCCGGAAACCAGACGGAATAGAGACCATGCTGGGAATGGTCGAATAGCAGGCGGCCGTTCTGGTTCTGCTGGTAGTTCCGCCAGGCCTCGTGCCGGGCGTTCAGGTCCCCTCCGATTACGAAGCGGGCATTGGTGCGGGTTATGATGGCAAGGTCGTTCTTGAACTGCTGTGCTGTACCATTGCTAACGGTACATTGCCGGGGGCAGTAGGCGGCGATGAACCGGACGTTTCCGGTCGATGTTTCCACCTCTATGCCGACGGCCTCGATGATGGAAGTGCGGTAGTGGGGTAGGGTGCAGTACTTGATGCCTTTCTTGATGATGACTGCGACACCGCCCCCCCTGGAGCTGGTGCGATCAAGCCGGACAATGCTGTGGTCGGGCAGCCAGAAGCTGTCACCGGTCTTGAGGTGGGTCTCGGTGAGAAGGCCCACGTCGATGTCGTGCTTGCGGAGGAAGTCTGCAAGCTCAATGTTTTTCGCCCCTACGGAGCGAGCGTTCCAGTTGGCGATCTTTATGGGTTCACGGTCCATAATTAGCGACGAAGGAGATGATAGCTTGGAGCTGTTGTGTTCTTGTTGCGCAGGTGCGCTTGATGATGATGGCCTGGGCCAACAGTGTGACGATCTCATCCGTTGACAGCGGAGAATCGTCTGTAGCTTCACCGGTTGTACCGGCCAATCCCGGAGCAGGGGGATCCGTCGATGGCCCGGAGGCTTGACCGGGTACTGCAGCGGCAGCCAACTGTTGGTTGAGCGGGAGCGGCGGCAACACTGGAATTGGCCGTGATTGGACCGGTGATAACGGAGGAAAGTTCTGCGCGTTGTTTTCTGGAACCTTCTTGCGACCGGGCTGGCTGTTGGACGAGGCCTTCTTCCGGATCTCGGCGTATTCGGCCCGCTTCGGACAGGCCTTACTCGTGGCCTTGTGGGCGGCACCGCAGTTGGCGCATGTGGGAGTGGCTTCCTCGATGCTGTCGCAGTTGTCGATCTTGTGGTTTTTGCCGCATTTGATGCAGCGGCAGGCCATGCGGCAATTCCTGGTGCCGTGCCCGAACAATAGGCAGTTCGAGCACTGAGTGACGCCACGGTGGGTGGGTTTATACCGCTCCCACTTCACTACGATGTGGAACAGTGTGCGTGTCGTCTGGAGATCCTTCACGGTTGTGGAGTTCTTCTCCAGATGGACCAGGTAGAGCTGGTCACGATACTTGATGGCCTTGCTGCGGGTCATCTTGTGGACTTCGACCGGCTTGAGGCCGTTCGCCTTAATCTCGTCCATTAAGGTGGTGGTGTCCATGTCGTGGAGCCCGCGCAGCACCACTTTCAGCGGCTTGGTGGCCTCGATGTCGTGGGAGAAGTACTCCAGCTTCATTCTGTCCAAGAGGGCCTGAACTGCGTTGAAGTGTTTTTCGGCCGGGACCATCAGTTTGTAGCCTTCCGTGCACCGTTGAATGGTGCAGCGAAGGCCCTGCTTAATGTAGAAATCCAGCTGCTCCCATAGCCCGGGAGGGAAGCCCTTCACATAGAAGGGTGGCAACTTAACTTTTTTCGGCACCGTCTCAGGGTCCGACTGCGGCTGGGCTCCGTTCTGCAGGGCGGAGAACGGATTGTTGCTCAGCAGCTTTTTTGCTGCTGATACGGTGGCACTGCTGTCTTCAGGTCTGGGTCGTTTAGTTCCGGGAGGCCCCGGCTGCCGTTCCACAACGCCTGTCGGGATGGGCAATGGGGTTTTCTTCTGCTTCTTCTGGGCTGGCTCGGTGGTCGCGCCGTCTCCTGGGAGAGTCTGTTTTCCCGGTAAACCGGCACTCGCGTTACCGCGCGATTTCTTACCCATGGCTGGGTCAGCGAGAGCGTCACTACACAACGCGGAGCTAATTCGACTTGCGAACGAACGAACGAAACTAGAGAGAATTCAAATCGACTGAACTGCTCAACAGTCTGGCAGCGAATGATTTTTGAGCTGATGAGTTAATGCCATACAGCAACTATCTTTTATATCTTTTCAGGTTAAAGCAGAATGATGTGCAACCAAATGGTATAAAAGCTATAAAGACTCCTCCCATTATGAGTAGTTTGCTATCAAGTAGCGACACTGGCTCTTTTCCTTTTGTGTACACGGTGAATGATAACGACCAAATTGAATTTAGTTCACTCATAATCGCCAAAAGTGCAGGAACTCACCGATGAGTAAATTTGTGAGAAAATTGACGAAAATTTTATTCAGTCTCGGAGTAGTACCAATAGACTGAGTGAATCCAATCTTTACTTTTCTCAAATTCGGGAATTTTTCCCTGGAAAATCCTGGGAAAACATGAGGCAAATTTACTCATCGCTGAGTTCCTGCACTTTATTTCTTATTTCTGAGATAGCTAAACTCAAATTTGGGCTGTTCTCATTCGCCGTGATATCACCTTGAAAGATATAGCCGCCGGTGGTTAGCGTGATAACCTCTCACCCCAGCAGGCCTGGGTCCAATCTCAGTCGGCGCCACCGGCATGTTCTGAAGCATAGCATATCTGATCCCACCTTCCTTCGGGAAGTAAAGCCGTTGGTCCCCTGTTCATGAGTTGATGGGTCGATATGTAGGGTCCAGGTGTGGGAGCTGCCTCCCTGGCGTCGGTAGCATTGGAGCTCAGTACGGAAAACAAATCTCGCGTCACTTTTCAATAGGTCCTATCTACATTGATCGATTCTCTTCATCGACACTTTCTTTCGTAAATAACTCGGCTTCACAAGTGTTTCCTGCCGTCTTCGTCGAATTAGATGCTAGATTGTTGCTTCTTCCATCGAAAATATCCGGCCGTGGCGATTCAAAGTTGATCAAGGTTGATCAAAATAATGTGTACCCCTGCTGCCAGTTTGATTACATGAGCATTTTGTGTGGTTGTTGGTTCTGAATATGGACAAACAGGCAGATGAATTCTATTCCTTCTCTTTACTGTAATAAGCTTGGTGGCCCTGAAAAGAGCCGTTTTGTTGCCAAAGTTGGTGATGATTTAACTTCCGAAACCAAACAGAGTGCGTCACTTCAAAACGTAAATGACATCCATGGCCACTTACGCTTGACGTGTTTAGTAACGGTGACAGCATCACGGATCTCATTTTTCAGGAACACCTTCAACACACTTCGTAAATCAGACCGGAGATACGTCAGACACCGCCACGACGAGAAGAATTTGCGTTTGGTTCTGAATATGACGATGAGTGTGCAAAATATTACGCAATTCCATCCTCCCTATTCGTACGCGCCCGAGGATTGGAGGCGAATGCCACTTCGACTTGTTTCGTCTACTTACTACTCTCTGACGACTGTGCTGGGGAAGCAGCATATGCATGTACGTAATTGGTGGATTTGTTAATTATTTCGACGCTTTTGGACAATGCTGAACATTTACCAGTTTTTCAATAGTTTCTTGTTGAAAATGAACATTCGGAAGCATTGTTATCGATGCGTAGCCATATTTCTGATCGATTGGTGATAAAATTATTGAAATTGGCCAGGGACAGCTGAGTTATTAACGTTCAAAATCTTTCTTAATTTGTTACATGTTCCTTTTTCTGTTTTCTCAAAGTGTACCCCCATATAGAAATCAAAGACGTAGTCCTACGTCAAAATTATTTATTTGTTTGAACAGATCCTGAATTTACATCTCGTTTAAACGCTATGTTTCTGCAAATGTCTAGTATAAGAATTTAATTAACCACACTACCGTTCATACTGGCGACAACGATCTGATGAGACTACGAAACCCCATCCCCAAGACAATGTATCCTTCTAAGCCGTGAACAATGAATTATCGGCTCCGTAAAACTAACGCGATTGAGCCTTCCAAATAACCGTTCTAGATAAAAAAAAGCTTAATATTTATGATCTGCTGCGATTGATATCACGTCAAACTTTAAATAAAATAGGCATTTCCAGTTACGTCCTAGCATTTTTCTCATGGTCATCCGTAATTGTTTCAATATAAAGCAAATAATCAATCTACATTGTATCACATGAACTCATCGTGCAAACAAACATGAATACCTACTTCAATCGAGTTTGTATTTCACACGCAATAATAGCGCCAAATTGATCAATTTAGCCCTAGTTGGTAAATTACGCTGACGCAATTTCACACAGCTGTTAACCTGTGCAGCTTTTCCCATATACACCTTTCTTCAATATTATATAAAGGATACACCCCGTCTTCGGTCAATTTAAGTAGTCCCTTCCGGTGTTTTACGATGGGTCTCCTGTCCTGGATTTCCAACTTCCTACGAGCCACCACACCGAACTATCACGGCACGTTCGCAGTGTTCCGGGTCTTCATGTTGATTTGTGGTGTAAACTTCTTCGATGACGACTTCATGGTAGGCCCGGTAAATGTGATCCGCTTTATGGGCCCTCTTCTGTCCGGTGTCTTTAGCGTGGTGGCTTGCTTCATTCACATGTTTCGCTACCTGGAGGACGTTGATACCATCATACTGAGCTTGGCCGCGTTGTTTTCCGCCTTAGAAGTGTTGATTAAGATCGGAGGAATGGCATACAAACGCAAGATGGGTGCCGCATTGATGAACACCATCTTGAACGATCGTAGCTACAACGAGGGAGCTGTCGAAATAGCCGCCTTCCTCAAGTACCACACTCTTGCCAGGTGCGATGATCTAGTGTTGCGTCATCATATTCCAAGAAGTTGACGGATATCTATTTCAGAACATTGATGTACATCACGATAGTTTCGTATCCATTTACGGCGTTGATGCTGCTGTCCTACCCTATAATTGCCGGAAAAGAGGACGAATACATACTACCAGTTGGGTATTCAATTCCGTTCATCAGCTACAAACAACATCCCTGGTACGAGATCGACTATCTCATCATCACCATACAGATGATCTGGTGTGCGCTGGCATTCGTTGGAATCGATGGCCCGTTCTACCTGTACGTGTGCTATGCGACCTGCAAGCTGGAGATTTTGAAGAGCTACGTTGAGAAGATCGGTCAAACCGATGACGTCGAAGAGCAGAGAAGTTTGATGAAGAAGATCATTGGAATGCATACACACGTGTTGGAGTGATTGTCATAAAGTCTAAATGTAACGCCTGAAACTCATGTCTCAACATCTTGTTACAGATTTCTTAGGGACTGCTCCGAGTTTTACAAGGAGATTTATTTGGGCCAAGTTCTATTCTCCATTGCTCATATTTGCGTTTCGCTGTTCCATGTTCAACTAGTAAGTGCATCAACCAAGATCCTTTCGATATTCACTAACCTACTTTCAATCTGAAAGAAACTGAAAAATAGCTCCTACGGAATGCTCGCCACCAACGTGGCCAAGATGTGGATATTCTGCTACTGTGGAGAACTGGTCGTTACCAAATCGAACGAAGTGTCCGTGGCCATGTATTCCAACCGTTGGTATGAACTTTGGCGCAAGCAGGATTTGAAAACGGTTCAGTTCATGCTGGCCAATGCACAGCAGTACGTGGGCTTCTCAATTGGAGGCTTTGGATTTTTGTCTTACGACATGTTTGCCGAGGTAACCGGATGATTTCATAAACGTCCACGTCTGAACGGGAAACAAATATAATGCAGGTTTTATTGCTTTTTAGATAATGAAAACCGCCTACAGCTGCAACGCATTCTTGCATAACATGTTGAATTAGAAGGATGGTAGAATACAAGCAGCTTGTGAAAACCTCCATTACGTACACTCAAGGGCGTAGCCAGGTTTCGAGCTAGGGAGGGGCGAAAAAAAATTTACTATGGAAAATTTGGCCGAATGCCATTTCACCGAACGCTATTTCCCCGAAAGCCTTTGTGTTGCTGAGTTTAGGGGGGCAGTTGCCCCCCCCCCCCTCTGGCTACGCCTATGCGTACACTGAACCAAGAAATCTTATAAAATTTATTAAAAACATCACATAGCTTCACCTTCACACTGATGACATTCCCATTCATTTTATGTGTATCCATTGAAAGTCATGTGAAAAATACATAAAACTCATTACGACACACCAATAATATTCATTTGCCAATACGATACTTTCTATGTGAACGAAGGTTATATGTATTGTCAGATGAATGTTATGTGATTTGCACTTGTGAAAAAATCAGAGGTGTTTTTGGTAGTGTTTTGAAGATGGCGAATCTGTGTGATCAATTGCTGGCAGATTTAGGTTCTCTGTTGAAACCATACACTCAAAAAATAAATCACATTTCCGATGGAAAATATCCATTAGAATTTCACATAACTTTCATGTGATCTCATAATTGGGAATCGCACCACGAAATCACATGAACCTTATGTGTCCAATGAAGTTTATGTGATTTATCACATAGAATTCATGTGATCATATGAATGTTATGTGAATTTAAGGTAAAAATCATTAGTTGTGTTATTGGAAAAATGTCATGTGCGTTCCCAATGAAAACTATATGAAAACTTTTTTCAGTGTATGTATATAGGCTGATATCAAGAGCAAATTTTCATTATGTCGTAAGTAACATTCGCACCGATCCGAGAAAAATAAAGTTTTATTTTGATGACCGAAAAGTTATTCCTATTTCCAATTAAACACATATAATCTCATAGTGATAGCAATGTTTAACATATTTAGCCGGGTTTTAATCATACAAAGGCAAATCGCTAGCTTTCATGCTAAGAAATACTCAAAAGTTATTATACGTCGTTTGGTGGCCCCCATTGCTACTTAAGTCAAAGTGTATTTACCAGGATATTCGGGAGAATTATCAATTACGTCTCCTTACGTGCAGCCCATTCATCATTTTAGGACCACCGAAATCATCTTAGCAACAAACAGTTCGATTTATTCACTTTAATAATGAGAAAGCGAAACGACGAACGTACACTTTTCACGGGTTTCTCAGCGCTGTTACTTAAGTCAAACGGCATCTCCATAGAAATTGGGTGACTTAAGTAACATCGAAAACTATTTTGATCGGAAGGTGATTACGTCAAAAAGCAATTTGACTGGTAAATAAATTTAAAAATGGGATTTGATCCTATATTCGGACAGTATATAGTGTAATAGCAGGAGAATCGATTGACACTGATAGCTCGACTTTGTTTACCTTTGTTACATTCGACGTAATGAAAATTTGCTCTTGATATAAAAGTAAATCCACAGACAAACAGACATAACACTCACAAGTTGTTAATCGAACATGCATTTAACCACAGACAAACAGACGTAACTCTTCATTGTGTATCTTCGTTCACGCATTTAACCGAGGGGGGCGACTCTATCTACGATGCAGGAAAAATTGTGTTTTGCTGTGGTTAGCTGCGTGCACGCTGAGTAGATATGAAGAAGATTGATGACGATTTTGAAGATTTCCTGCAAAAAGATGATGCGCGATGCAAGTAGATACAAGAAATCAAAGAAGATTTTTCGAAGTTTGATTCGCTATTGTGAGATTTGTAGAGCATCTAGAATTGAGATTTAGATGTGTCGCCCCCCTCGCATTTAACGGTTGATTTGAATATTATCAGTTCCGCGAACTACTCGCCGCAGCGCTGGCATCGGATCACTTTGACGTTTCTATACATTCTATAGAACTTTTATGCAATATTGTTTGCGAGTTAGCGAGCAAGCTTGTTTTCCGCGAGAAGCCTGAAAGATGTCGCTACTGAGGTCCTATGTTTTGAGATACTATGTTTTCAAGAAAAACTTTTTCAAAGAGTTACGTCTGTTTGTCTGTGATTTAACGGTCAATTTAAAAGTATTTAGTTGGTAGTACTGCCACCTGTGGTGCGCATAGTCACTGCTCACCACAGTGTACTCAACAGATGGCGGTAATGTTTTAGGAACGATGTTTTACAGTGATAAATATGCAATGAGTTAAGTCTGTTTGTCTGTGGTAAATCTCTTTATTATTTCCGAGATTATTTCAGGGTGTGGAATTCAGCTGTACGAATTAATAACGTATTCGATTGTTGATTTCGAATCCAGTTTGGGGCAGAGCAACGTTGCATGAAATTGTGAAACCATTTTCGAGTACATTGATGCCTGGAGGAAACGCAATGCAAGCGTGGCGTTGTTTAATAATAAAATCGTCTGCAATCTGACTATACTTCCGGATTTTTTACATAAGTCGACTATTCTTCAAGCTTTAGCGCCCGATTTGTTCGTCGAGAAAGAAGCTGTAACAAATACTGCTGGCGAGTGTTCTGGAGTTACCTGCTTAAAAGATAGCAAGCGCTCAGTCATCGTCGAAAACGATTGTGATCTAGAACCAACGGCCAGATCAACGATTCCAGGCTGAAAATGGGACGGATTTTAAACCTGGCGATGAAGTCTGTGGCGACATAACTGGAACAAGTTGCAGTAGCAGGAATGATCAAGAAAGTGGATATGAAAAATACTAGCACCAACAAACTGTTAGCTGTAATGATAGACAACTTCCAGTCTATAAGAAATACAACTACATGTTGAGGAAAAAATAGTAAATGTAAGAATTATTTTGTGCTTACTTCAGGGCGATAATTTCAGGTTTGCATACAATGTGGCAATTTTCCAGTGGATTTAACGCCACGTTTTACTGTCGGTTTTGTTGCAGACCTTTCGGAAGAACTAGTGTTATCTGAATAGGGCGAATGCAGATATGATGTACAGTAAATAAAATACTGAACATAAAAACAGATAGCCTCATCTGCTTCTTGAAACTTCAAGTTGGTGGGGAACAATGTTAATGAAACGGACGGGTGTAACAAAAGACAATCACTGAAATTTATTCGTTTTAGAAGCTCATTATGAATATCTTTTGTTGAGAGACGCTTATTTTAATTTATTTTATTTATTTCTTCATGTTTAAATGGATATACGAAATGTTAGTGTTCACAAAGCAAACCTGCTACTCACCGCGAATAAGAATCAATTTTGTATTTTTTTTTTCACCCTCAATAGAAAGATGGGGAAGTAAACTCTTTTTATTGATACGGCCAGGGACAGTGTGCAAAGAGTGCGTATCATTTTGTCATTTTTTTTATGCATTTCAGTTTTGAGTAGAGTGAAAGAGATAGAACCAAAACATTCTAGTACATTTGGTGAAAATGCTAGTTCAATCCAGTAGTAGCAACAATCAATACGAAACTAACGATTTTAAATTGGCTCACTACTTGACTAGCCTATTGGTCCCAAGCAAACGATTAACGTAGCCCATTCTAGTCGAAATTCTAGTACTACGCAATGTTTGTTTTGATTCGCTATGAAAATTTGACAGATAAAATGAGGGGTGATTGGTTTTTCCTATGTTTCGAGGGGTGAATCGATTAGCTTGGGACCGAAGATAGTACCAGAGCTGAGCCAAAAAGTTGAGCACGTTATTTCGGGACCTTCTAGTCTTAGAGTTACCTCTATGGTAGTAGTGTTGCCATGTGGTACAATCCAGTAGTAGTGGTGTTGCCATGTGGTACACTGAAAAATTGCAATAGCAGGTTAGTCACCAAAGTTTTCGAGCGGCTCGTCTGTCACTTCGTTTGTGCTACTGGTCCCAAGCAAACGATTAACGTATCCCATTCTAGTCAAAATTCTAGTACTACACAATGTTTGTTTTGATTCGCTATGAAAGTTTGACTGATAAAATGAGGGGTTAGTGGATTTTCCCATGTTTCGAGGGGTGAATCGATTAGCTTGGGACCGAAGATAGTACCAGAGCTGAGCCAAAAAGTTGAGCACGTTTCTTCGGGACCTTGTGGCCTTCTAGTCTTAGAGTTACCTCTATGATGCTAGCATAGAGGCACAGAGAACAGACGTTCAAGTTCGGTCAGAAACTTGTGTAAAAAATAAGTGGAAACGTCGCCGTTACGTGGTGTTAGCATCTCCTGATTTTCTCTATAAATTTTCCACTTTCGACCAATTTGGCGCTAGTATCGATAAATTTTCTGTTGAAAATTGCCACTTGGCGCTACTAGCACTTAGTGTGTAGTGTAATTTGTGCAACGCCAGCGCCATCATGTTGTCAAAGAGGGTTTTTAAGTGGGGAAGTCGCCGTTAGTGGCGCTTAAGTCGAATAGGAATCTTTACACAAGTTTTTAGAGAAATTTTGTTCGAGCCTCCATGTCTGTTCTCTGTGGTATTACCACAAACGTTTGTGGTATTACCATCGGATACTTTTGTCATTCACTCGTTTTCTTTCAAATTCTTAAAATAAAATACTAAAGATTATGACAGGACTTAGGAAGTTGAATTAATCTATTGATTTCTAATGTGTCAAAGACATACTGCAACCCGGCTGCGCAACCGCTACTACGACTCCACTATATGCCGTACGGTGCAACCATACGCCGTATGGAAAAACCACAGCGACTGTACAACCAGACCGCGGCGCATATGGGCGCATAAGAATCCACTGAGCCAACCACCGACAACTTTTCACAACAGTAGTTTCCAACAAATCAAGCAAGATCGAAACGAAATAAACATGTTCTAATCCAAATTGTCCATTTACCACTGAAAACTAGGTGTATTTTAATTATGAACTTTATTCCTTATGGACATTGATGGCAATAAATTCAGAGGTAACAAAAATATAACAATAAGCAAATATATAATAGAAATTAATATCTCAAATCGATAACGAAGCGGGTTGAAGGCGGCGATAGCCTCAGCGGTCACCATCAGTTTCCACCTTGATTTTCAATAGACGGCAGTTATCTTTCAGCAGAGTTGGCTGAAAGTAAGCAAAATTGAAATTAACAGGATTTGGATATCATATAATAGTACAAATATCCTAAACATACCAGTTCATCCACCTTTTCCTGCAAACGTTGCCATGCCTCGCTATCGACAATTACTACCAGGAACGACCCATTTCGATGCAGCGCATCGAGCACCGAGAAGACGAACTCTTCCGTTAGGAACACGCTGGGAATCTCCAGCAGCGTCAGCTGTGGGTTTCTATCGACAAATTCAATCAATTTATCCTCGGACACGCCGGGGCATCTGACGATGTGCAACCTCTCAATGTTAGTTTTGTTGCAGAATTCCTCAAGGTGCTCGTCTTGAAAGGTGCCGAAGCACGCTCTGCCAATAATTTTTAGTTCCTTCAGTTCCGTCATTTTCAAAATACTCTTGTAGCTGATCCTGTCCACCAGAGATCCTTTCAACTCCAGATATTCCAAGCAGTTTCGCTTGGAAAACTTTTGCAGCATACGGTCCGTGGATGGCGTGCTGCTGATGGTAAGCTCGAGATATTGGATCTTGAGAACTCGGGTAATCAGCATCATACTGACCGGAGCAACCTTCGAGTAGCTGTCGTTGCAAGCCAGATGCGTCAGCTCGGTTAAATGGGAAATAGCACTGATTGCATTTGTATGTAGCTCCAGGCACCCGGTAATATTGAGATATTCAAGCTGTGGATTGTTTTGCAAGAAAACAAACAATCTAGAACCTTCGAGTTGAGAACAATTTTCCACATTCAAACTTTTGAGGCCTTTAATCGTCTTCAGACAGGCTCCGGTAATTGTATCGTTGGCACGTAGCTGTAAACGCTGCAGACTTAGGCAAAGGTTAAGACAGCGTTCGACATTGTCATCCACAGCACAGTCATTCAACGTTAACGCTTCCAGTGAACTTACAATTCCTTCCAGGGTATTCAGAACTGACGGATTTATATTAAAACAGTGAATTTCCAACTCTCTAAGATGGAAACAATTCCGTGGAATCAGACCTAGAATCCTGGGTGCCGCCGTTGTTTTCGAGTGAGCGAAACGATTTCCTGACAAGGATAAACACTGAATGAATTTACCCACATTTTCCAGGATGTTCTTTGTGTCCATTACTGTGAGAATGGGCTTGTCATGTGGCTCGGCAAAGTCAAACGATCTGTACCGTTTCAGAACGTTGTGCACGACGGACGCAAGCCGTTGATTGGTATTTTTCAGCGCAATCAAATCCATCAAACCGAGTTGTCTGAAGATTAGCGTTAGGCAATCATCATTGAGCTGCAGTATGCTCGATTCTCCACTGCTGGATTGACCCTCATCAGAACAAGATCCTGTTGTCTTGGACGAATCCGACTCGACGAATTTCGTGGCGGCTTGTTTCTTGTAAGCGTCCTGCTGCCAGCTGTCAGCCACACTCAAATAGACGTGTGGAAACCTCTTCTTGTGAAGCAAGCAGCTGTAAATATTAATATTATGTATTATTTATTAAGAGTTTTCAACATTACATTGTCATTCGCCTTATAACTGTAAAAATATAGTTATTAATATTACCTATAAATATTGCAAAATCAAACTAAACAACAAACAAAAAACTCACCGAAGTGCATCCTCACACCGGTCATACGAAACGAATCCGAACGGGTTGCTGTTGATATTAGCAATTATTCGAACGTCTTTCACCGGTCCGTACTTTTCGAACATTTTCCGAACAACGTCCTCCTGCTGGCAGAGTTGTGGATTGCGGACAAAGTTGGCATATAGTGTGTTCACGGGGAAGCCATCTTCCGTGGTCAGGATCGTTGGGGGGGCGGTAGTTGAACCATCCGGTTGGATTCCTGACGATGATGTTCCGGCAGATCCGCTGTATGATGCTATCACTTGTTCTACATGCCGTTGCTGTTCTGCTATGCGCATATCATTCAGGAACTTAGAAACTTAGAAATTATTGTAAATAAATGTATCCAACATAATCAAAACGCGAATCCACCAACCTTTCTTGTTTCTCTTCTTTGATTTTCCCATCTTTGATAGCGTTTCACTGTTTAATTTGTTTGAATCGTTACAATAAGGCTGTTAACGAGACAGTTGCGATCAGCTGACTTTTTCGTTTATCAAGATTTTTTGACAGATCACAGTAGAAAGAACCGTAGAACTGGCAGTTTATTTAGGTTTTGCACCGTCGGGGTTAACCTCAATCTGATGACAGTTCAGTGGTAATGCGAGGGGCACCACCAACGTAGAGTGCGCCACGCGAGTTCGAGAAGAATCGTCAACCAAAACGCCTTTTTAACACAGAGAACAAACATGGAGGCTCGAACTAAATTTCTCTGAAAACTTGTGTAAAGATTCCTATTTGACTTAAGCACCACTAACGGCGACTTCCCCACTTAAAAACCCTCTTTGACAACATGATGGCGCTGGCGTTGCACAAATTACACTAGACACTAAGTGCTAGTAGCGCCAAGTGGCAATTTTCAACAGAAAATTTATCGATACTAGCGCCAAATTGGTCGAAAGTGGAAAATTTGTAGAGAAAATCAGTAGATGCTAACACCACGTAACGGCGCAAATAGCGACTGACAGATAACAAATAAGTGAGTTAGTAAGTAAGACATTAACACTTATCAAAAATAGATGAAGTACACTCCAAAAAATATGCACGTCCGATCTACGTGAAAACATAGGTAGCTTTCGTCCATACTACTTTTCACGTAACATTTACGTTAATGTCATGTAGCCAAAAATATTCCCATTTAGTGGTCAACGTGAACAGTAAGGTAAATTTTACGTGATTTCCACTTAACTTGGAATAGATTTTCACGCAATGTTTACGTGGTTTTTAAATGATATTTACTGACATTTATTGTTTATATTACGTTTACGTTCCGTGATTTTTACTAATATTGAAATGGATTTTTACGGAATGTTTACGTGATCTTGAAGCAACGTTTACAGGATTTAAAAATACCAAGAAAATAATATTTAAACATTTTTAGATTTTTTTAATTAAACGTCAAGCATTTCTCTATTGCTATTCAAAAATTAATAATGAACATTTCGTTGCCTCAAATCTTTGATCAGGACCATTCTGATGCAATATCTGTTTGCGCTGTCTTATTCAGAGTTATGATATTGATTCCAGCCTCTGAAATCTAAATAAATACAATTATTTGCGCGGTCTTCGAATGATGTAAAATAGTATAAAAAACTTCTAGTTTATGCAGTGTTAGTGTTAGGAAATCCAAAACTGAGAGCAAGTCTTACTCTAATGAAGTCGACGCCATATTGAATTACTTTTTCATACATGTAAATCACGTAAACCCATTTCACGTAAGCACTTTCATCATCAGCTCCAGTGAACATTACATGGTATGTTTGTCAATTTCACTACCATCATGTAAAAATGGAAGTTGAAGTAATCGAAATGGCTACTTGATTTATCACGTAGGTTGAACATGTATACTTTGTAGAGTGTACATGCTTATCACATTCTTTTTACGTGAAATGCCCGTAGTATCAATCGACATGAAAATCACGTAAATTTTATCAAAATTCCATTTGACATTGATCTGCGGCACGTGAAAATGATTGAAGTGGGGTGTTTAAGGGGTTACGTGATTTTTCACGTAGCATCAACGTGAAGATTTTTTGGAGTGTAAGATAATGTCGATCAGGAAAGAACAAAGCACTACCATGCTGTACATAAATTGTTTATATGAAAGTTATTCAAAAAATCAATTTACCTTGCGCCTGACATCCACCTAGCCAAGCACGTTTTGCACGAACTACATAATACTTTTGGAATTCACGGTTCGTCAAAGTCTCCAGGATCAATTTTAAAATAAAGCCTGTATGCAGTTTGCAACGAAGCAGTGAAATTGACCGATTTTGTAAATATATAGTTGCCACACGCGTAACAAAACTTTTGAGGATCATTTTTACACTTGAATTCACGTTTTGTCGTATACATCGTTAAGCAATGTTAAAGAAAGAAAGCTGTCAAATTGAGTTGGTTGCGTTAGGTTCTCGCCGAGCGGTCTCACAAACACTAGCGTAAATTATATTGTTGAAAATATCCCATTTAATTTTGCGTGACAGCTGGTAGTGTTAGTGAAATGCACCGTATGCGTACACGTCCGCAGAAAGGCTTACTGGAAGTGGTGCATGAACCTAGGAGCGGGACAACGGCCAATCTTGGAACATTCAATTTCCATGATTTTACAAAAAATTTCATAACTTCGACAATTTCCAACCGATTTCATCCATTAAAGGCTCATTTTCTCCAGTTTTTAATAGACTTTAAGAATAAATTATGGAATGATTTTTTGAATCTTTTTATCCCATTAAAAATGTTGATTAAAACAAGATTTTTATGGAAAATTCGCAGGAAAAATTAAAAAAATGCTGTAAATTTTTAAATGACTTCAAAATTAAATTTTTAATTAAGACATAATATTCTAGTGAACGATAGCAAATTTATTAAGCTTCATTTTCATAAAAAAAGATTTAAAATTGGTGCACTAGTTCCAAAGATATTGACATTTTAGTAATCGTACTTTTGTCCAAAATTCAAAAAATCAAAACTTTTGTATATCTCAAAAATGGCTCTACTTTAATTTTTTCTGACCACGGCATTGAATTCAGCGTAGGATTTTGCATTAAAAACGTTGGGCAACCACTAAAGTTCACACTTTTTATGTTGTTTTGTAAACTAGTGTTATTATTTGGCACGTAAATCGAATCAAAAATAAAAGTCATTTGAAATGCTAGCTTCTAGCAAGGGTTGCAAGATAATTTAGGAACAAATCCCTGCTGCTGAATTGTATTTTGTTTTCTCTGCCTATCTCTCCCTCTGAGTATTTCTACTTCTAACCTAAGAGAAGAGGTGACAATACGGGGGCAAAAATGAACCACTTTTCTGTCAAACGTGAACCAGCTCGTGATTGGCTGATTTGATGTGCGTAAGATAGAGATAAACATAGATAAAGATAGAAATAGAAATTAAAGAGTAAGAAGCCAATATTGTCACGTCTTCCTCTTAACTTCTAACGTACCGCAACAATAGACTTCTCTAACGTTTGTGAATTGCACAAGTATTAGTACAGAACTTTGGGTTTATTCAAAGCTTCGAGTTCTGCACTAATACTTGTGCATTTTACAAACGTCAGAGAAGTCAATAGGACTGTTTCCCCTACCTTGAAAGAAAATGATCAACCTGGACTTTTCAAAGAAATAACACCGGTACAGCTATCATACTTACTTAAATTCGATTCTAATTCATTTTATTTATCTTTCCAATGTTTGAGATGAACGTTCTCACACATGAAGTATAGAAAAATTTAATTATTTGCAGTACTTCTGGAGGCGAGCAGACTACAAAAGGATGTAACTTAATATTTTGCAGAAACAAATCAACATAACTTAAAACAAAAACGATTCACCAACTGTACGCGTCTGCTCGAATCTTCAGTATGCTAATGTAAAACCACGTAAAAAAATAAAATTAAACGAACAATAGTGTGGCACAGAGCGCCACGGGAATATCGTCTGACGTGGATGTCTTTACTACTGAAATTGTATAGATCGTAAGTGACCTTCCCTCCTGCTGATAAGTTTTGCGAGTAACATACAAATTTATTCGGGATTCACACATTACGGAGGGTACCTTTCCAGATAGCAGGGAACATTCTTAAGCTGCAGCTAATAACCTATCGAAAACAACCCGTTTCCTACAACGATTGATTTCAGTTTTCAACTACTACTATTTTTTTAGAAGACTCCAGGATTTCGATTGGTTAGAATGATTGTAATCTTTCTATCTCTCTCTCTCAGTTCGTAGAGTGCATCTTTATGCTTCGCAACGAGTTGTTCCCTTTTCGCACAGCAGATAGGAACGCCTTTGTGCTTCTAGCCGCTTACATATAGTACATATACCGGTCGTCATCGTCGCTGTCGTAAAAGTACTGGCACATTTCTGCAAAATCTAGAAAGACAAACACGCAGAGGGACATGTGTTAATTCTCAACTTGGGAATTGGGAGATTTACGGGACATAATTGGGATAATAATTACTACCCAGATCCGAATCGTAATCCAGACCCCACAGCAGGGAATCGTCATCTCCGTAATCATAGCCCATGAAGTCTTCATCATCATCGTCCATGACGTCATCGTACATATCGTCGGAGTCCATGCCGCCGTAGAAGCCCTCCGTATGGTCGAACGATACATCTAAAAGGTGCCGGTTGGCCTTGACCAGGGTATTCTGAGAAGGGAGAACGAAAAAGTTGGGATGGATGATTCTCGAACAAAAGCAAACAGGAAAGATTATAATCTACTACAATGCACGCGGAGGAGGTGGCAGAAGATCCATACTGCCTATGCCCCTACCCTCGCCCCTACCTGGTGGTTTCGGTGTGATGTACCGGATGTAATATTGAGGACTATTCTGCACCGCGATTCAGCTCACTAGTGAAGGCGAGTCATCACACTCGCGGCGCAGAATAGGCCTCACTATTTATTCAAAGATTGCCGCTAATGATTACAAAAGCGGTTAGACCCTTTTTCTTACTGATTTTTTATCATATTACAAATTATATTGGGGAAATGGCTCTAAGGATGGCCTATGGATCTAAGATTGGGCCCATCGCTAAAAATCTGCTATTTATCAATTTTATCTAGACGAACGCGTCATTGGGACGGTACTAATGGATATTTTTGGTCGCTATTGAAAATTTAGTCGATGTTTGAATTTATGTATGGGCCATGGCTGTTACGAGATTTTCTAAATTTGATGCGCGAAATCCGCGATTTCTCAAAATAAATCCGCGACTTCAAATAATAATCCGCGACACAGAAAAAAAAAACTGTTTTCATTACCTAAAAATACCATTTGTATACTACTGCATGGCATTTCAAGCTTATTGTTTATAGCATATTAGATTTCTGCATGCTCTAAGCTTAGTGTTCTTTGAAGAACTTTCACATTTTAATTGAGAGCTTTCTATGCCTGTACCATCCTATGCCCAAGGAAGTAGAGAAATTTTCCAACCCGAAAAATTAATAGACCGGACGGGAAACGAACTCAGTCGCCTCCAGCATGGACTTGCTTTGTAGCTGAGCCTTTACCGACTGAGCTAAAGGAGTATCGTTTGTAACCTTTGAAAAAAATTAAAAATTTCAATGCATCATCTTCAGTTATATATGTATAGTATAAATTCTGAGTAATTAGTGAACATAATAAAACACCCTTACATTATGAGATTCTATTGAATAATATCGGCCTAGATTTGATGAAACATAATTTAAAAACAAAATGCATTTTCATTAGAAATGCAAATTTTCTTGAAAATTAACCTTTGCGTTTCTGACGTACTTTGCTGTCCTAAATGTTGTAGTGGTTGTAGTTAATTTGGCTCTAATTTTCTCAATTTTTTACCGATTCAAACCAAACACCCTGTACATAATTGAGAAATTACCAGAGATTCATAAGTTACACTTGTTGGTCACGTCGCGGTTCTGTATTTACACGGATATTCCTTGGAGTCTATCCAATGGTAAGACAGTTTCATGATATTTTTTTTTCTAATATGAACCTAGCACTTTTTCGTTGTCAAATCATAATCGAATCGTACATATGTGACCTATTACTATGTATACCGGAAATTATAGGTTTTCCAAATCGTCCAGGACATCAGTTGTTTTGGACTGTAATAATGTCTGTAGCATCGAAAAATGTCCAATCAGATTCAAATTGTCTAAGTGGATCATGCATGATCTATTTCCGAGTAATCCAGATGTTCAAGGTTCTTCAAATCGTCCTGGAGTTCAGATAATTGAATGATTTCAGAACCTATAACATCTTGTATACCTAGCAATATGTCGGGCACGATCCACATAGACACTTTGAATCTGTTTGGACATATTTCGATACTACAGACATTATTGCATCCTTGATTGATATAGTAGAACAAATCAACCGAACTCCAGGACGATTTGGAGAACCTAGATTATCAGGTATACATGGCAATTACTCGATACGAATCGATTTGATAACGAAAAATGTTATGTTCATATTAGAAATAAAAACAAACCATTAAAATGTCTCAAATCGGACAGACCCCAGGGAATTTCCGTGTAAATCCGGTGTGACTTATGGAATTGAGATCATTTCTCGATTATTAGCAGGGTGTTTGGTTTGATACGTAAACGTAAAATATACGTAAAAAATTGAGAGCCAAATGATCAACAACATTGATGAGAGCAAAATAATCCGGGACGGAAAGGTTAAAACGAATTCCATAATTTTTGTGACAGCACATCAGTCCTTTCGCGATTTTCGCGACATCATTTAATATTTCCGCGATTTTCGCGACTGAAAGTTCACATCAGCGACAAATCCGCGAAAATCGCGAAATCCGCGAAATTTGCGAAATCCGCGCCTGTTGTAACAGCCTTGGACTTCCTTTCAGCCTCTGGAAAAAAAATATAAATTCCCCTTATGTACGTTGCGTTCACATTAGAGGATTTTTTTCAGAGGTGATATTGTTGTTTTATGGAAAAATGCAAATGAAAAAACACCCTAGATGTGTTGATTGGTTACACGTATAAACTAATATCACAGAACAGATAGGTAACTCAGAGCAAACGGTTTCATCTGAAACTGAGTTCATGCTTTTCTTGTAATTTTTGCTATTCCTTTCTATTTTCATTTCGCAGTGCACACGATGATTTTAAATCTTGTATAAATTGGTATAATAACCGTTAAAACATTTTGCCTACAGTACGCTCCTAATTGTTTAAACATGCAAAAATTAAATTTTCTTTTTGTTGAATGCTTGGCCAATCATTATTGATGTAATTCTAGCGGTTTCGTTTGAATACGTGAATGGGGTATTACATTGCTTTGCATAAAATCACTATTAGTATTACAATTTGTTTGAACCAATTATAAACATATTTGATGGGATGTTGGTGAAATGTCTCGTTTTTAAATATGGTGATTGCAAATTTGTTTGTGTAACAACTATGCATGTATGTACAACTATGCTACTTGCTGTTCTGACTCTGTATGATAATAATAAGGTTCGATGCCTCCGCCATTTAACCATTCATGGTCAAGCAATTGGTGTATTTTTTTTTTGTTCAATTCAACTACACAACAACGAAAACGCAACGTAAAAGTTTGAAGTTCTGCAGGTTTGTGCCAAAGAGGAGTCTCAGATTTTTTTTAGAAACTTTGCCCACAATTTTACTGATTTTTACATTCATCACTTGCTTTGCAATTTTGCCACCCTCAAGCATTGCAAAAATAATGTTTTATATTCAAATTTTCAATCAGTTAGATTTTTGATCTTAACACAAAAAAGGTAAGGGAATCCATTCTGAAGTTTTCACCAGTGAACGATAAGAAATCTTCAAGTAGGGTAAGTGTGCCAGTTTTAAAACTAATGCTCCAGTTTTGTGCTCTAATATTGTAATGAAATAAATAATATAATGAATGAAAAAATCTGAAATTCAGGATAGCGCAATGAGATGACAACTAAAGGGTGTCCACGATGAAATTGCCACACTATGAAATTGCTCTAACTTTTTAACCGTTGGGTAGAATTTAATGAAAATTTGGGTGGATTTAGTTCATAGTGCATTATTTACATCCTGCAAGTTTTAAAGTCCTGTGATCAAAACTCGCGGAAATGGAGTCGAAAGAACAGCTCGTGCGTGATAAAATCTTGCGCATTCATCACGAGAACAAGGATCTCTCGCATCGTTCCATCGCTAAAACGTTGGGAATCGCGAATTCCACGGTGTCGCGAGTGATTAAGCGGTTCGAGGAACGGTTGACCACCGATCGGAAGCCCAGAAGTGAAGGAAAAAGTATTCCGTACAACACCAAAAATCACAACCGCGTAGTTGGGGCCTTCAACCGAAATCCGAACGCCTCCGTTAGGGATGTGGCTAAGAAGCTGCACCCAGGCATACCAAAAGTACCGCCTCATGACAGTATTCCAACGGCTGTCGCTTTCTTTTTCCTACGACAGCCTTGAGATTGAGCTATAAGCGACAGCCCACAGTGAGGCTGTTATACGACATGCAACGTTGCCGTCTTGTGCAGTACACGACAGCTCGTTCTTAGTCATGTATTTTGTTCGTTCGGCTATGACAGCCTCGGATGGTCATTCGTAACGTTCCTCGTACATACAACAAGCAGTCCGTCAAACTGCCGATTCGTTGCTGCTGGCTTTGAAATTTTGTTTGTATGTCGTAAGACTGCTACTACACTACCAGTGTTGCGCCGGAGCTCGTTCGGTTGATATCACGTTCGTGCTGCCCATTGCAAAATTTTCATCCGATATTTTTTTTAAAACGCACGGTCTCCGGCGAAAAATATAAGCCTACCCGACACCAACCTGACTTCTACCGAACCCCAACCCGATGTTGGCCCGACATTGACCCGACATAAACACATAATTGACCCGACATCGACCCGACATTTGGCCGACGTCGACCGTAAATTGACCTTACATTGATCCGACATCGGGCCGACATATCTGTTCGGGATCATTCTTCTGGGTTTCTTCCATACTCTACTGCCGTATATTAATTGTATATAATGTCTCGTGACAGCCACTTGGGTAAGCTGAGGGATGTCGTCGGTTTGTGAAGGCTGTTATGACGACAGAAACATTGAGAACCTGGTCATAAAGAAATGTATAAATACAGCCCATTCGGTTCACTACGTTCCAAGCACGATGATTTTAGCAAAGCGGGTATAGATGCGACTGTTCTAATACAGCTTTCATTCGTTGGTGCGTGCGCTGTTGCCAATACACTTCGAATTCAGATCTGAACGTACGGTAGAAAGCGGTAGTAAAGCACACAAAGCAACAGTCAATTCAGGTATAAACCAACTGTCGCGAGGAGGCTGTACTTTTTGGAAGCCTGGCTGCACCTAAGCCGAAGTTTTGTCCAGAAGGCCAAAACTAAGGCTGGGCTTCGAACGTTCAAGGTACAAAAGGCCCCTAATCGCGACGAGAAGCAGAACAAGTCCGCCAAAACCCGTGCCAGGAAGTTGTACCTCAACATGCTGACGAAAGTTGAATGCTGCATCATGGACGACGAAACATATGTGAAGGCCGACTTCAAACAGATCCCCGGCAACCTGTTTTTCACGGCCAAGGATAAGTTCAGTGTTCCGGAGCATGTCCGCACTCAGAAGATGTCCAAATTTGCGAAGAAATTCCTGGTTTGGCAAGCCATCTGCAC